CCAAAAACCCTAGAAAAACTTTGAAAATATCAAAAAGTAACTTAGAATAGGTAGTTGGATTTGGGTGACCCTCGAAACCCAATGAATTTTCTAGTTTGCCCTTTCGTTTAAAACGAATCACAAACCTATAAAGTAGCCCCTTACCTAATGGTTGCTTTTTTCATATTTCTTTAAAGGTTAGCCTTATTGAATAATAGATCTGGAAATTTTCGGTTTGAACGTCAATTGGTATCTGAGAAATGCCATATCTTGGTCATTTCACTCCAATTGTTTTGTCTTTGATTTCAATCGATAGAAAATTAAATTCTGCGTCAATTGATATCAAAATCAAAAATATCACAGTGAAATTGACCGAGATATGCCATTTTCCGTTGCACACCTATTATCGTTCACGCCGAAAGTTCCCAGGTCTATTGGGTAGCGCAAGATTGTGTCATTAGGTTTAATTTACATTCGATACCCTTCTCCAGAAAAAGTTAGACGATTGCATGTTGCAGCGACATCGAAAAGCTGCACGCGCAGATGAACATGGTGCAAGAGATGGTTGGTGGAGTGTTGAAAGGGTCGAAAAGCGGCAAGGGAAGAGAGAACAACATCAACATCAAGATTGACCAGTCTTCCGGCAACGTTTACAATCATCAATACCTCAACTCTGTGGTCATTCTTTCCCCATTGCGGCAACTTCTTTTCGTTGCCGCTTTTTTCCGACTTTTGTGAACTGTATATGTCATTGTAATTGTGACTCGAAATAGCCTTAATTTGTTTTTCCTTAAATTTTGAAGCAAACTGATCTGATTGACCCCTTAACCGCCCATTGTACAGATATTTGTGCTCGTATTCGTGCTTTATCTTGCATTTTATGAAATAAATTTTGATCTTTTCGAAAAAGGAAATTATTTTGTAAGTAGCACACAAAGTATGGAGACAAACTGTGAAATAATGCAATCCTGACAATCTGCGTTGATCAAGTAAATAAGCTGCGTATACCCTGGTTACCCCGAACCGAAAACGTGATTGACTATCAGTTTAACGCCATGCGCGTGCTCGAATCATTCAGTTCGACTGGTGGACTATGAATTCAATCAAACTTTCAATCCAAAGAACAAGCTTTCCTTCAAATAGAGCATTCAACATTGGCAGAAAGAGTAAACACAAAAAAAAAGAACAAATGTTTGCTCCGTTCTAGTTTGAAGATAAGGATAAAAACGAAGCCGTTCTAGTTTGAAGATAAGGATAAAAACAAAAGAAACGGTTTTTTGAATTTAAAAAGCTCTTTAAATTCAAAAAATATTCTTATAACTAGAAAATGACACAATTTTCTCGCAACAAAACTTTTGTTTTTCCTTGCAATTTTTCTCGCAATAAAATTTTTGTTTTTCTCTTATCAAAAATTTTTTTGGGCACAAAAGGGTTTGGGGCACATTCATCCGTATCAGCACGACTTTTTTATTTTACGAAATGAATTTCTGGCTCAAAAAGCCAAGGTGAACAAAACATTACTTGTGAATAATATTATCGCGTTCTCTTAGCTAAATTCAACTCCACAATTTCAATATTCTCAAGGTGAGTTCCGAATTTCTTGTTGCTTTAAGTTTTTCAGGGCTTTGTTTTTACTAGATATGTCTCACTGCAAATAAAGTTGAATGTTTTAGTAAGGGACACAAAAGTCGATGTACCGTCAAGTTGAGAAGTCAGAAATCGATGTCGAGAAATTGTATCGCCAAGTTGTGGATGAGGGGGAGCAAGAGAAGGAGAAAGGGATTTGTCGGAAAGAGTCCTTTCTCTTCGCCTCACTTTTTATCGCTCTTCTCGTCATCGCCGTCATTTGGCTGTTTCTGACGATTTTCGCAAATTTCGATCTCAAACAGTGTGTGCCGATTAAACCTGCTTTCGACTATGCTTTCGACAATTTTGCTTAGATAAAGATAAAGTGCTTAGATACAGTGATTCGTCAAAAAATGAACCGAACACACAGCCAACTATTAGAATTCACTTTAAATTAAACTCGAGGCTTTTCAGTGGTAAGAACAACAGCACATCGACGAACGACGAGCTCGAGACGCTGCTGAAAACTTGCAGAAATCTCGCGTCAGTTTACTTACTCATTAAAAATTTACACGAAAAAAGTTTAGATTGCACCTCAAGAAGCGAATCAACGAAACGTAAGGGCAGAAATTCGAATATGTGTCCAAGGGTTGCACCATATTTGCTTAACACGATTTGGAGCGTAAAGAATTGAAAAATAGCTCATTTTTAGGTTTAAATCAATTAGACAAATGAATTTGCTATATTTTTCAAAATGATTTCTTCAAATTTGTTGCAAAAAATGGCCTTTTTTTAATTCTTTGCGATTACAAGTCGGACGCCGATACACCAGGGAAGGGCAACTGGATGTGCTGGCCAAATCACATGAGCCATCGACCATTCGACACAGAATTTCACGTTGAGCATGATGCTGCTTTTCTTTTTTTTGCTATAGAGTCTGTCACTCTGTCAAAAGTTATACGCGTTTAAAGTTTTGCAAGGGATTTCAAACCGAGAAATTACAACCTTGTCTTCCGCGGCCTTGACAGTTGCAGCGGTAGCCGAGTGATAGTGAGTTGGGACGCAAGACGGTGGCTGTCCGGTTCGAGCCCGGTAGCTGGTTGCCTTTTTTCTTTTTTTCGGTTTTAATACCTTATGTGTTCTCTATCGTCGCACACAATAGCATCTGGCATGCAATAGTATAGCATCTGGCACACCACTAATATGGATAAGGAGCCCAGACCGTTCCGATCAATGAGCTACCGGATTCGAACCCGAAAGCCCTCGCCTTGCCTCCCAGCCTACTACCACTGGGCTACCCCTGCAACTGCTGTTGTAATGTAATAGACAAGGTTGTAATGTCGCAGGTTTGATTTTTGAAACTCCATCCAAAACTTTAAACGCGTATAACTTTGACAGAGTGCTCTATAGCAAAAAAAGAAAAGTAGCATCATGATCAACGTGAAATTCTGCGTCAAATGGTCGATGGCTCATGTGATTTGGCTAGCACATCTAGTTGATCTTCCCTTGTAAGGCAAAACGTTCAGACCTTAGTTTGGTTTCGGTTTTCAAAGAAGACCCCTTTATATGCAAGTCTTTCTACACTCCTTCTGAAAGCTCTTCTTTCAGAATCGATGCAAAAACCGAAAGCAAGGAGAAAGAGGAGTTTCGGGAGAAGACCAAAAAGTAAGAGCCTGAACTGGTACCAACCTTGACCTATTTGTAGATTCGTGGATTGTGGACAACAAAGAAATGATGGAAAGCCCGTTAAGGTTTAAACAGTACAATTTCAGCAAATCAGAGGATCTTAGGAGTTAGAGAAGAAGATCGAATTCCTCGAGACGTTGCTCAAATCGAGTGAAGGTGGAGGGCAGGTGGAAGTGAACGTGGATCTCTCCTCGGGCAACACCCACTACTATCGATATTATCATTATCAAAAATCAGTCAGCAGTGTCTCGTGGCTGTGTGCCTTTTTCATTTCAACTCTGGTATCACTCTAAGCTCCCAATTCGCAATGCGTTTTTTTTTTTCTTTTTCTCCTTTGGTCAACCATCTTCTTCTCTGGTTTGTTGTTTTTAAAAATAAATATTTTGAGACGAATATGCTGCACAACTACCAATTTGCCATCAATGATCTCTTACAAGCTACCTATATTACAATTGTTTTCAACTTTTCCCCACATTTTCATATTTTTTAGTTATAGAAAACAGGAACCAGTACTTTACGGCCTTGAAATTTTTGCTTATTTTTTTGCTGTTTACTCTTTCATTCAATGGTATGAAAGTATAAAATAACTGATATTTTGTTTCCAGTCAGAAATGAAATCCATATTTTTACTCCTCGCTCTTTCTATTGGTTTCTGCTTTGGGAAAGCGCAGAATGCTCATGCAAAGGGATTTGTGACATGCCATGGAAAACCCTATTCTGGGGCCGGAATCGGACTTCGAGTCTTTGAGTGAGTTCAAGATAGAGAAAAATGAAATATCAAGTATTGTATCGGCAAGAACTCAGAAAAATGTTCACTTCTTGTCTGACTGTGGAACTTTCTGCATATAAAAAACATTCTAGCGACTCAAAAAGATCCACCTTATAGTCTTATTTCATTCAAAACAGAGTCGTTTACCGGCTCTCAATTTTCAGAGCAACTCCCGACGATTACGAGTGGGCCGACACTAAGGAAGAGAATGTGGCCAGCGGAGCTGATGGCCATTTCGAAATCACCGGCTCTTGCTCGAAATGGGCCAAGCCACACTTCAACATCACTATTTCTCATTGTCATGATCTGGTCGAAGTTTTTATCAATTCAAAAAAGCAATTCCCGGAAGAACCACTTTAAACATAACAAAAAAAGTATTTTTCAATAAGTTGCCAGGTTTTTTAAGGACTGATATCAACAGGCAACAATCTTTCTTGCTCTCTTTTTACTAAAACAAGAAAAACAAGAGATTTCAGACTGAAACAGACACTTTGAACTGTGGGAAGTCGATTGAAATCCGATTACCGGATGAATCCCAAGAGAGTCTCTATGATGCTGGAGAGCTCAAATTGGAGGCCATCGAGGTGCTCAATTGGATGTGTGGAGGGGCTATGCTACCACCAGAAGAATCAACACCGGAAGCCCCACAAGAAGAATGAGCAGGCCAATTCCAATATTCATCCACATAAAGAACAATTCATTGTTGAATAAATTTTTTTCAGCTCTTTCAATGCTTTTCTATTCTTGTCTCCAATTCTCCAATTTTGTGAATCTTTGAACTTTTTGAAAAAACATTTCAATTGTTGTTGAATGATGAGAGGAAAACGGCTCAACTGTTTCAACAAAAATTTAAGCGCAATCTTTGAGTCAAAAAAGTAAAACAGATTTAAAATCGAAAGGAAGAAAAAGGAAAAATTGCAATACTTGATTGAGATGAAATAAAACGCAAAAAGACAGTAGAAAGGTTAAAAAATGTCCGATTTATTTCAAATTCAAACTAAAATTTGCCTAGAATTTCACAAAACTCTCGAATGTTCTTTTGTTCATGTTCACGAATGCTTTCCAATCGACACGAGTGTATTGATGGGCTTAGTGCCTCTATGTGCTTGTTCTAAAAAAGGATTTAGAATTAGCCCCAAGAACATAAAAAGTTTAAGGGTTTGTTGAAAAGGAGCTTGTTGATACCCTAAAAACTTGAATCAATATCATTTGCGATATCAAAATGTGTAGGTAACCACAGTTGAACTCGACTTGTCGAAGCTTACTTTCCCGTATCAAACGGACAACCTGGTGCAATATTGGGATGATCGATTACACATCGATTATACAAATATAAGCCATGCTGTCAGCTTGGCTTCAGGATAAAACTCAGCCTTCAGCGAGCATTTCTTTCGTTTTGCTGATCTTAACACGGAAAACACGAGAGTTCAGATAACTTTGGTACTCTTTACTAGATTTTAGACCTGTTGTTGCTCTTTATCCCTGCAAAAAAGACCCTTTGAATCAATGGAGTTATACGCCCGCAAAAACAAACAAATTAGCATTTCATTTTTTACCAAATATCCTTACCTAAACCATCAATTAAGTTATTAAACTTTACATAAGTTATGGTGAATAGAGTCGATTTCTCGTTTTTTGTGGGTTTAACTCCATTGGTGCGGCCTTTCTTAGAGGAAATTTAGCCTAAATTTACCTCAGTCCGTCCCTCTTGCGACAGCGAATTCCACGGCATTCCGAGACTGAGCGAGTGATTCCGTGCTCTCACCTCATTCACAATGTCATTCACATCACGATTCTTTGTTTCTAAACCATAAATTTGGTTTAATTTGGAAGGTGATAGTAAATCAATCTTCAAGAAATGAAGCTAATTTTGTTAAAGTTTTAGGAAAATAAATTCAATCATTTGTTACAGATTATCCCTTACCGGGTAGAATGAAATACAGAACGACAATCGAGATACAACTGACCACAATGAAAGGCATGTAGCTGAACGTGACACCGACCATCTGAATGTGATTTAAGCTAGTGCAAGACAAGTAGAATTTAGAATTCCGAATAATTTCACGCTAATTCCGAATAGTTTCAAAAAAAAAATATAAAATAAAAATAAGAAATACAAAATAGTTTTAAAGCCAGATAAAATTCAAATCTTAAAAGATGAAAACGCAAAACGTTTTGTCAAAAAAGGAATCGCACTCGAGCAAAAAAAATGGAGTGATCGTTTTGTACGCCAGCGTTCTTTTCACTATACCACCATCACGCTTAAGGCCCGTAAAAGAACCCTTATTAAGGCACCTATTTGGCTCCAAATTTTTCCCAGTCTAAAACTTAAAACACGTGTAACTTTTTATAGAAAGTAATTTTGCAAAGACGGAAAGCAGAGTCGGAACCGACGTGAAATTTTGCGTCGAGTGGTCTATGACTTATCTCATTTGACCACATCTAACTGTTGCCTTTCCCTTGTAAGCTTTGTTTAGTTCTCGTGCAGAAAATATTGGCCAATTCACTACTCACAATCAGCAGTTTAGATGTATGGTGATTGTTTTTCCTTGAAGTTTTCCCTGCAATCCATATTACGAAAGAAATTTAAGTACTTCAACTTAGTTACCTGTTGAAATGGTAGATACGCTGATGAGATAATCATCGCCATGAAGTAGGCGGCAAAGACCGAGACCGTGACAGCCGTTGAACGGAACTGAAAACGATTTTGGGATTCAAATTTACTTGAAGAATTCTGCGACTTCTTTAAAGCAAGCATTAAAAGTTTGAATCAAGCGAAATCTTACATGTTGATTGAAAAGCTCTCCGGTGATCATCCAGGGAATCGGCGAGCCGACCCCATACACGCACATGTACAAAACGAGCGCGCCGATCGTTCCGTAACTTGCCCAAGTCGCCTAAAACAAAGCCGTACTTTCAAAAATGACACTAAGTTTAAATTTTCTAAGTTTCTAAGTCAAAACAAACGTGGACTCACTTGTTCGTATTGTTGAATTCCTGTGAACAGAGTGAGCAGCGATAGAGCAATGAGGCAGGCGATCAACTAAAAAGGAGTTTATATACAAGTTTATTCTACAACTTTACAATTTCTTGTACTTTATGCTCAACATGGAAATACACACCATCTGGCAGATTGAATTCTTTATTAGTGCGCCAGAAAGAAAGGAAGCAAAAATGTTTTGATCTTCTGTGCACGAAAATGGAACTAAACCCTGTCTGTAGCAATTAATCGCATTAATTTGTTCAAATTTTATCGAAAACCTTTATTTATTCAATTGAACTCACTTGGAATAGAGAAAGTGGCCTTCGCCCAACTCGATCAATCAACAAAGGAGCCGAACAAGCGAACAAGAAGTAGACGACACCGATAGCCAGCGTTGCGTAACGAGCTGTTTGTCTAAATTTCATTAATTAAATATAATTTTATGAAGTTGATATGACTCTTTCTTGAAATTTAAAAGAATAAGATACCTACTCAATACAGAAGTTATCTTTTTGAACTTTTAGCGGCTGCAAAATGTTTCGATGCTCGTAGGTTTCTTGATAGATAGACATTGGCACTACACGCTACAAACACTTCTAACTTGCTTCAACTCTGCCGGATTGACATGATCTATACCTTGAAAAAAAGAGAATCTCAAGAGCTTTCGAATGGACTAAAGGATACCCAAAAAATATCAATGCTAAAGAAAGTTACAGTGGTTTGTAGTCCTAGGGAACCGTACTTGCACGTAGTTGAAGCGATCGAGTCGTTTGCAGTGTGTTTACATGTTCGGAAGCGTTTGCAGTGTGAAAATTTGTCATTTTTGTAATCTATACTACCAATGTCTCTTAGTTACTTAATTCCTAAAAATTCAAGATTCCAGTATTCCTTTATTGATTAGATATCATCAAGTCCAAACTCACGGATCAAGTTTCGCGTTGATAAACATGTCAGTCGAGTAAGCAAAGACAGCTGTACATCCGGTGAATTGTTGAGCGACCATGACAAGAAGGGAAACGAGTAGGGGAAGACGGAGCTTCTTGCTCGTGAAGAGTTCCCAAAAAGAACCGGATCGACTCTAGAATGAAGCAATATTCACTTCTGAATATGAAGATTTACTTTGTCTCGTGCGCTTTCTCGGATGAGTTCGTTGAAGACGGGTTTTGCTTGTTTCTCGCCAGCCAAAGCAACAATTGAATCATAGGCAGCTTCTCGATTTCCACGGGTCATCAATAGATATCTGAATCATAAAGTAAAAAAATGAATGGCAAAGTGAAGAAACTCCAAAGCCTCAGTTCCCATTTTTTTTGCTTACTTTGGTAGGATAAAACAAAAACGGTAGGATAAAACAGAGAGCCAATGCTGGGATTCCTGGGAGCGCAAAGGCGATCGGCCACCAATTTGATCCACCAAGTACCTAAAAGTCAAACCTATCCTATTTAATTTTATCTTGTAAAACTTGTAAAATAAGCTTCTGAACTTTGCAAATAACTCAAAAATATAAAAACAAACTTCAGGAAGTCCAATGAGCAACGAAAACCAGTCAGAGAATGAGACGGCCACCTGGAAGCCATTTTTGTGAAAAAACAATACTTGGAAACTGGTAAATTTATCGAGCTGATAAAGTGGAAAGTTTGGGAATCTTTCAAATTCAATTACGAACCATATGCAAAGTTCCAGCGGCTCCTCGATATTTTGTCGGCGTCAACTCCATCAAATACATTGGAACGACCCCGGAAGTGAGTCCCAGATTCGCACCAAGGATGAATCGACCAATGATCAACAATTCGGGAGAGCTGAAAGGTGAAACGAATAATGGTTGAATAGCTTGTTTTTTTCAAAAAAAGTAATTTTGTACTGCTAAAGTTAGCCAGGTTTTGATCCCACCTAGCCGTCCTGGCGATCAGCTCGCAAAAAGCACCGATAATGTTGAAAATCCCGTTGACAATGAGAGCATTGCGACGGCCACAGCGCTCAGAAAGAACCCTGAAACTTAAGAAAATTATAATAAAGTAGACTTGTAATGAAAATATCTGTCGATCCTTTTTTGCCATTAGCAATTTAAGGTTTTTCATGTTTTTCTCAGCATCAACCCCTCGATTTTGACTATTTTGACTATCATTCGCAGAATAAAATTGCGCGTCGAATGATACCAAAATTAACTCAAAATGTGATATCTTTACAAAGTTATGATATATCGCGAACTTGATATATCTTATCTAATCAAAGGTTGCACTTAAATTTTTGTTAAAACAGTTGAACCGTTTTCCTCTGATCATTCAACAACTGAAATGTTTTTTCAAAAATTTCAAAGATTCACAAGATTGGATGACTTGACTTGATATTTCATTTTTTTTCTATCTTGAACTCACTCAAAGACTCGAAGTCCGATTCCGGCTCCAGAATAGGATTTTCCATAGCATGTCACAAATCTCTTGGCATGAGCATTGTGCGCTTTCCCAAAGCAGAAAACAATAGAAAGAACGAGGAGTAAAAATATGAATTTCATTTCTGACTGAAAACTAAATATCAGTTATTTTATACTTTCGTACGATTGAATGAAAGAGGAAACAGCAAAAAAATAAGCAAAAATTTCAAGGTCGTAAAGTACTGGTTCCTGTTTTCAAAAATTAAAAAATACGAAAATGCAACTGGCGAAAAGTTACAAACAATTGTCAACGCTAATATAGGTAGCTTATAAGAGATCATTGATGGCAAATTTGTAGTTGTGCAGCAGATTCGTCTCAAAATATTTATTTTTAAAAACAAAAAACAAGAGAAGAAGATGGTTGACCAAAGAAGAAAAAGAAAAAAGAACGCACTGCGAATTGGGAGCTTAGATTAATACCAGAGTTGAAATGAAAAAGGCACACAGCCACGAGACACTGCTGACTGATTTTTGATAGTGATAATGTCGATAGTAGTGGGTGTTGCCCGAGGAAAGATCCACGTTCACTTCCACCTGCCCTCCACCTTCACTCGATTTGAGCAACGTCTCGAGGAATTCGATCTTCTTCTCTAACTCCTAAGATCTTATGAGTTGCTGAAATTGTACTGTTTAAACCTTCACGAGCTTTCCATCAGAAAGCTGATTTCTTTGTTGTCCACGATCCACGAATCTACTAATAGGACAATGTTGATACCAGTTCAGGCTCTTACTTTTTGGCCTTCTCCCGAAACTCCTCTTTCTCGTTGCTTTCGGTTTTGGCATCGATTCTGAAAGAGTGCTTGCATACAAAGGGGTCTTCTTTGAAAGCCGAAACCAAACTAAGGTCTGATCGTTTTGGCTTACAAGGGAAGGTCAACTAGATGTACTGGCCAAATCACACGAGCCATCGACCTTTGGTCAACCATCACATGAGCCATTTAATCCAAAGAACAAGCTTCCCTTCAAATATGAGCATTCAACATTGGCTGAAAGAGGGAACACAAAAAAAAACATTTTGCGCAAATGTTTGCTCCGTTCTAGTTTGAAGATAAGGATAAAAAGGTAACAAGGAAATTTAAAAAAGCGCTTTAAATTCAAAAACTATTCTTGCAACTAGAAAACAACACGATTCTCTTGCAACACAATTTTGGCTTTTGAAAACAACTTCTCTTATCAGAATTTTTTTGACACACAGGCTTTTGGGGCATATTTATCCGTATCAGCATGGCTTTTTTATTTTATGAAATGAATTTCTGACTCAAAAAGCCAAGATGAACAAACGTGAATAATATCATCGCGTTCTCTTAGCTAAATTCAACTCAACAATTTCAATATTCTCAAGGTGAGTTCCGAATTTCTTGTTGCTTTAAGTTTTTCAGGACTTTTTGTTTTATTACATATGTCTAACTGCAAATAAAGTTGAATGTTCTAGTAAAGGACACAAAAGTCGATGTACCGTCAAGTTGAGAAGTCAGAAATCGATGCGGAGAAATTGTATCGTCAAAATGGCCTTTTTTGATTCTTTTTGATTGCAAGTCGGACGCTAATACACCAGGAAAGGTAAACTAGACGTGCTGGCCAAATCACATGAGCCATCGACCATTCGACGCAGAATTTCACGTTGGTCATGATCCCGCTTTTCTTTTTTGCTATAGAGCATTCTGTCAAACGTTATACGCGTTTAAAGTTTTGGAAGGAGTTTCAAAAATTAAACCGCGACATTGCAACCTTGTCTTCCGCGGCCTTGACAGTTGAAGCGGTTGCCGAGTGATAGTGAGTTGGGACGCAAGACGGTGGCTGTCCGGTTCGAGCCCAGTAGCCGGTTGTCTTTTTTCTTTTTTTCGGTTTTAATGCCTTATGTGTTCTCTATCGTCGCACACAATAGCATAACATCTGGCACACCACTAATATAAGGAGCCCAGACACTTCCGATCAAATCAGCTACCGGATTCGAACCAGAAAGTCCTCGCCTTGCCTCCCAGCCTACTACCACTGGGCTATCCCTGCAACTGCTGTTGTAATGTAATAGACAAGGTTATCATGTCGCGGTTTGATTTTTGATACTCCTTACAAAATCTTAAACGCGTATATCTGACAGAGTGCTCTCTGGTAAAAAAGAAAAGCAGCATCATGATCAACGTGAAATTCTGCATCGAATGGTCGCTGGCTCATATGATTTGGCTAGCACGTCTAGTTGACTTTTCCTTGTAATGATCAGCCAAAATGATCAGACCTTAGTTTGGTTTCGGCTTTCAACGAAGACCCCTTTATATGCAAGCACTCTTTCTGAAAACTCTTCTTTCAGAATCGATGCAAAAACCGGAAGCAAGGAGAAAGAGGACTTTCGGGAGAAGACCAAAAAGTAAGAGCCTGAACTGGTACCTACCTTGACCTATTTGTAGATTCATGGATTGTGGACAACAAAGAAATGATGGAAAGCTCGTGAAGGTTTAAACAGTACAATTTCAGCAACTCATATGATCTTAGGAGTTAGAGAAGAAGATCGAATTCCTCGAGACGTTGCTCAAATCGAGTGAAGGTGGAGGGCAGGTGGAAGTGAACGTGGATCTCTCCTCGGGCAACACCCACTACTGTCGACATTATCACTATCAAAAATCAGTCAGCAGTGTCTCGTGGCTGTGTGCCTTTTTCATTTCAACTCTGGTATTAATCTAAGCTCCCAATTCGCAGTGCGTTCTTTTTTCTTTTTCTTCTTTGGTCAACCATCTTCTTCTCTGGTTTGTTGCTTTTAAAAATAAATATTTTGAGACGAATCTGCTGCACAACTACAAATTTGCCATCAATGATCTCTTATAAGCTACCTATATTAGCGTTGACAATTGTTTGTAACTTTTCGCCAGTTGCATTTAATTTTTGAAAACAGGAACCAGTACTTTACGACCTTGAAATTTTTGCTTATTTTTTTGCTGTTTTCTCTTTCATTCAATCGTACGTAAGTATAAAATAACTGAGATTTAGTTTTCAGTCAGAAATGAAATTCATATTTTTACTCCTCGCTCTTTCTATTGTTTTCTGCTTTGGGAAAGCGCACAATGCTCATGCCAAGAGATTTGTGACATGCTATGGAAAATCCTATTCTGGAGCCGGAATCGGACTTCGAGTCTTTGAGTGAGTTCAAGATAGAGAAAAATGAAATATCAAGTATTGTATCGGCAAGAACTCAGAAAAATGTTCACTTCTTGTCTGACTGTGGAACTTTCTGCATATAAAAAACATTCTAGCGACTCAGAAAGATCCACCTTATAGTCTTATTTCATTCAAAACAGAGTCGTTTACCGGCTCTCAATTTTCAGAGCAACTCCCGACGATTACGAGTGGGCCGACACTAAGGAAGAGAATCTGGCCAGCGGAGCTGATGGCCATTTCAAAATCGCCGGCTCTTGCTCGAAATGGGCCAAGCCACACTTCAACATCACTATTTCTCATCATTGCCATGACCTGGCCGGATGATTCCCAAGGGAGTCTCTATGATGCTGGAGAGCTCAAATTGGAGGCCATCG